ATTCAAACAAACAAACTCTTTAAATAGCCCCCCCCCAGTGGCACAGCGATATGTCTGCGGGCTTACAACACTAGAAACCGGGTTTCGATACCCGTGGTGGGCAGAACACAGATAGCCCATTATGTAGCTTTGTGCTTAACTTCAAACAAATCTCTTTGAATTAAACGTATAAATGATTATGAAATTAAGTTTAACACAAAAGAAATTTATTGATCCTGAAAATGCGAGAAACAGTGATTCTTTATTACCATTACTCGAGAATAAAACTGTTTCTTTATCTGGCATTTTCATGTTTCAGAGGATTTCCTTTCAAAATATCCCATAATTATATTCTATCCTTCATCCACCTGTTACGTTCAGGGTTTTTTTCTGGCTATTTTAGAAATGCACATGAAGATGTTAATGCTGTGATGAAATATATAATTAAAGTATATGAAAAACAAAGCCAAAAAATAACAACATAATTTATTTTATATTAGCTATTTTAAATTGAAAATGCTCAACACGGACTTGACCTTAGAGCTAGTCGTCCCCTTTAAATCCCCCTTTTTTTTTATTAAGGCTAGGTAAGAAACCAGTTAGATACCCTTCTCTGAAGACACTAACGGAAACTTCAATCAAAACCTATTGCCAAGCCTTTTCTCTAAGGGAAACAAATTTACTCAGTCTGGTCTCCTTATTTGTTGACTTCGCTTGACCTAAGTTCATATGCCTTTATTGAGAGAACGACTTATAAAAAAAGAAAAAAAATCCAATTCGGATGCCAGGCAGTTTATGTTTGTCGCCGTGACCGCTAGCGTCCTCTTAGAAAAATGTGGATTTACTTACGCTCAAAGGTATATTATATTTTGTATTGTAATGGGATTTCCATTGTATCTTCCCCCTCAATTCACATAACATCTTTTATAATGCTTAAAAAGGTGCTTAAGAAATGTTTATACTTTAAAATGCTGATTCCTTTATTATCCTAAATTACACTATACTAGCTTAATCTATTAAATCATATTGAAACATCTGAATAAGAAAATGCTGTTAAGGTATTTCCTACATTAATTCACCTTGTAGCATTGTATGCATCTTCTCCAACAGTTCTGGAGCTAGCTTGCAGGACTAAACTTGGCAGTGGATTTAAGGTGATCCCGGGGCGTCCTTATCTGTAAGGAGTAGCACCCTATCAATGGGGTACAAAGGGGTCTACATCGTGCCCGGAAGTTACCAAGGCACGAAAATGGGATATAAGAATAGGTTATCAGGGTCATTGAACCTAAATGTGATATAAAATTTTGTGTTCCTGCTACCCTTGACATCCCAGGACGCCATCTTTGAAATTATGTTCATACCCTCTCTCTCATGCTAAAGGGACCAAACTTAGATACCACGGGTTGATATCCTAATGGGTATTTTTTCTAGTGCGGATCCTCCTCAGGGTAGCTAAGGAAGAAAGTGGGGATAATGGAGGGGCTTGATTTGTAAAATGGGATATTTATGAATCATAATGAGGCCTTTGATTGTTTGTTTGTTTTTTATCGAATATAGAGCTATACAATAGACTATCTGTGCTTTCGCCCACTGCGGTATCGAAATACAATTTTTAGCGTTACCTTCACACATGCCGCTGAGCCACTGAGGGGCGGGACTTTTGAACCCCGACAGCGCAGGTATTGTATGCTTGTTATCCATAAACTGTGCTTACTTATAGAATTAACTTGGTTGAATAGATTTGTTTTAACCATAACTGTGAATACAGGACTCCAAATATTTATTTTGAAAATTTCAGCTAATTTCCAATGCAAGTGTACCTGACATGCTTACTGCTCCCTAAAGTTCATAAGTAAATCACACGTTTTTGCAACATGAAAGTCTATAGCTTTATAGTTAAATATGGTATTTCGCAATTCTAGCGAGTTACCTGTTTTTTATTTTTTATTTTTTACTCAAAGTTAACTTACATCATGAAAATGTTCAAATATTAGATGCTAATGTTATTAATAAAACCTCGCGGTGTCTGCCAAGCAATAGAATTGGATTAATTACGTTTATCTAAAGTATAATTTTCATATCACATTTACGCATAAAACACATCTTTTAATTAATCCATGTTTGTGTAGGATAATTTTCACTGTGTCTTATTATTATTTTGGATATTTTCACAGTCGCAATGAAAAGAATTCAGCTTTGATCAGTCATTGAAATTTATCGCTCAACAAATGAGTGACGCTGTATATTTTCAAGCTCTACTTACTAATAACTTTTAGCTTGACTTCGTGGTAAATAGTTCTTGACCAACGGAAGTCCACTCGGCACCTATAAACCCCTGAATCTGAATCTTTGACAGGATCAATTCTTAACAACGGTGGTTGAGTAGAAAGATCAAAGGTGGCACGAGGCCGAAGTTGATCTCCAACAAAATGAACAGCATTCCGAAGATTTCCTTTTCTGGCATCCATAGTATAAACTGGTGTCTCAGATTCTTCTTTAAACCACATGATTAGTGAAATAGCTATTTCGTAATCGGGTATAGACACATTACACGGAATCAATGCCTGTCTTCCGGAGATGACTAAAAGTTCTTGTGAAACTGAAAAGAAATTATTTGAATATTTTTTTGTGTGTTCCTGGGGGAAATATGATAATAACATTATTAAAAATTACGCAAAAACTCAAAAATCTATAACAAATGCGGCGCATATATATATATGCATAAATTTACCTTTGTAAATTCTATATTATACATATATTTCATATACACAGATATATATAACCGATTTGTACACGTTTTACGTTTAACAAACTGTATTTCGTACCCAAAGTTTGTTTGTTCATTCCGTTCAAGAGACGCTATTAGTATTTGTATTAAGAAAATATCATTGAAGGTAAAAAATACTGTTGCGTACGTACATACAAACATACATATACTTATTAAACAAAGAAGGATATAGTTAAAGCATAATCAAAATTGTCGAAATAAAAAAAAACAAATGACCTATAAAATAAAAATATACTCAAGTAACTAAAATTACAAATAGGAGGGTTAAAGTACACGCTTAGTTCAATAATATTAAAATGTTTTAAATTTAAGGAAAAGTATTAGTTATTTTAAAACAAAATGTTTAATACACAATCGTTCATAAAAGTATCAAATGGAAGACCATTTTTATTATGGTTGTTTTTAATTGCCATACGATATTACACTTTATTGAAAAGGTTATTTTCTCTCTTTTGAAGTTGGGCTATCCAATGGCGTTGGTTTCTAAAAAAGCAGCGTTGTGGTATTTGTTTTAGAAAAACCTGTAACTCTTACTTACACTAAGAACTTTAACTTAGGATATTTGAAAGAAGCTTATTTATATGCAACTATTTTCTTATTTCACAGATTTTTTTATGAATTACTCCTGTTTTTATGTTCATTTTATTAATTAATGAAACTCGATTGTTGATAGAGAGCATCTACATGAGCATAAATGAGAAAATAGAATGTATATTCTTCTTAATTTATCTAAAGTAAGTAATTCAATAGTTGACTAGTGAAACTATTTTTTACAAATAATGCAAATAAATGTATGTTTGTGTAAGAAAATAGACAACTTAAATTTTTGGTTTGTGTTAATATTAATTCCACGCAAAGCTATTCGAGAGCTATCTGCGTTATCTGTTCCCAATTCAGCAGTGATATACAAGAGGGAAGGCTGAATTTCAACGCTACCCACTGTCAACTGGGATACTCTCGTACCAAGAAATAGTAGGATTGACCGCGCATAATAATGCCCACACAATTGAAATGACGAGCATGTTCGGTGACGAGGATTCAAACCCGCGAGCCACAGAAAATTATATTTTAGAAACAAGTATAATAAAATCGGAACAAGCATTTTCTTATGAATCTAGACATGAAACTGTTTTGTTGACTTTGGATGAAAACACTTACATTGTAAAGGATAAAATCTTATCGATAGTTTGTGAAATATAAGTAACGTCAAATAGAAATGAAATATCATTAAAATACGGAAATACCTATCATAATTCCAATTCCAATGCCTACTTAGTTAATTATTAATTGATTTTTTTATAAAAGAAATTTCTGTAGTCTTTGAATTAAAATTATACTCTGTACCTATTTTCTAATATTATATAAATTCTACGGCTCCCACAAGAAAACGCTTATTATGAAATTCGTAAGAGGTGTTTGGTAATTTTTACTTGTTTTTAAAAACATTGTAAAATATTTTTTGAATAGGTACACTAAAGGTGTACAAGGAGTAACTTATTAATTTACACACAAAATACACACCTGCCTAGAAATTAACTGCTGTTAGAACAGTTAATTAAACAAACTGTTTGAAAAGTTTAAATTAGAGGAACTAGTTTCGACACACTCATGGATCCTCTTCAAACTCACGAAGATAACGTGAGACTGAAGAAGACGCATGAATGTAGCGAAACTAGTTTCTATAATTTAAACTTTTCTGATATTTTGTTTCATTGACTGTGGCTTTTCGACTAACTTTGTAAACGCAATAGACGATATTGTATTATTAACTGTTGCTGTTAACTATTTCATCTGTAATATCTATGTGGTCAAGGTTATGTTTCACAACTTATACGGTTTTAAAATGTAGAACCTCAGACGGTTTCTCGAACTGCACTTCTTTTACGTAGTCACAAATAACCTGCATTTCTAGATTTTTATTCCCATCAAACCTAATATATTGTGTGACCTATGACTTAGCAGGTTCTCTCGATAGCGCCTAATCTTCCGTATGTTATGAAATTGCCATCACGTTAAATCTACAAGGTGAACACGTTAGATTTCACGCAACATGGTTTCTAAGGTTGTTAAGCAGGTATATGTTTTTCAGCTTTATTAAATTTTTTTCTAAGAAGTTAAATGTGTTGAAAATTAAAGTGTCACTATTTTATGCAATAGCACTATATACATATATGTGTAGAATATTTCCAAGCTCTAAGTGTTATATAACGTTGATATTGATTTCCATGATTAACGAATACTCATATTGCATACACGGTCAACTTTAAATGCACAAAAGGAAAAATATCACTAGGTTATAATTTATTGAAATAATTTTTTCAAATCCCTATATGTTTTTATTGCTAAAATTGACCAATCTTTATAAGAAATGCTTTAATTCAAACGTTAAGGAGTGATAAGATATGTCATATACACACATATACTCACGCGCACATATATTATTGTATTTCAAGGTGAGCAACAAGTTGGCCTAGTATCTAAATATATAATTTTCAAGTTTTAGCAAGTGTATTCGCTAGATGTCAAGGATGTACGTTTACGATATAAAATAATGATATACAAAGCTTATAGAACAGCTTCAAAATAATAGAATCTTGTCATTGTAATGTATCTGTGTAAATGTAAGGCTGTAAAGAAAAACATACATTCTGCAGAGGAATAAAAGGTAATTTTGGTTTAAGTCAGTCCGGTTGATCCATAGTTGAATATTAAGTATTAATTTAGTGTTTTGTTATTTTATCATAACATAAATATATATATGACGCAACAAAATAAAATTCGTTAAATTGATTCTTCTAATAATATGTATTTTTTTACAATGAAGTTGTTTTAATTTCTACAGGTGATTATTAAAAATGCCAAGGTGTTTTGATCTGTATGAATTATTCTCCTTAAATACCAACAACGAGTGCGTAACCATATGTAACGCTTAAGTAACGCAAATAAATATTAAATGATATAAGAATTAAACGTAATGACGTAGTGGTTCTTGTCGAGCTACAGAAAACGTAAAATTATCACAAATAGCGTTGTTAATGAGCCAGTGGGGGACATTTTTGTTGAAAAAACAACAACTACCAAATCCGGTTTTTCTTAATTTGAACTGAATTTTTGAACATTTTTAGTGGCTAAAAAGAAGGCATTTCCCAAACTCTTATGGCGTTGGGGCTGTGAAAAGTGATTTGAAGTGGTTAGGTGACTGAAATCAAACACTGCATCACCAGCTTAATGGCCACGCACAAGAAGCATGGAAATCTCCAAATTGCACGCAGAGGTATTCAGGAACCATTTCAAACCACCTTGGTAGATATTGTGCAACAAACCGAGTTCAATATTATGCGTGTAGCTGCTTTCAAAGTGTTCCTATCTGCTCATCTTACTCCTGACTACCGTGATACTACGACCTTCCCTAACGAATCGCAGGTGAAATAGTTCGTATCTCATTTGAAAGCTAAACATTAAAAGTTGACAACAGAAGCATAAAATGTTGGTAATTACTTAATTAATCATGCTGGGAATGTGGCTTTATTTATATATACTGAATTTACTACCAGCGGGTAGACCTTAGTACTACCTAGTATGGAGACTTGAGGATGCTGTATTTCACTTGAGAATTTATCAATTAACAAACAAAAACTTGTTTCGATGTCGTCTCGAAAAGATACGTCCAAAACCACTCTCTCTGGGGGTTTTCGGGTTGAACTTACTTTTAATATTCAACAAATTGTAGTGTAAATACACCCCTTGGCTCCTGAAGGACGTGTTAAAAAATGAGATTGTAAAAACAAAATTGTATGAGAGTGTCTTACATATTAGTCGAGAGGTAAATGTTTAGGTTAAGTGAAAAAAAAAAAACAGCGACATGGTAACTATTCATATAAAAAGTAATAAAATTGCTACTTTTATATCTTTCAAAATCAAAAAGCAAAGTGATGTTAAAATAACAAATGACAAAAAAAGCTTATAATAAGTCATGAATATTTTTGTTATTTCAGTAACGTTCATTACTGAAATGGGAACTTGATAGTACTGGCACAATTTATAAACTTTTAAGAACCAATTTAATTTTACTAAAAAGCTAAACCTCACACTTCCTTATTACAATAACTTAATGTGTTCACCTCAGATATTACAGATATTTCTTTTTCCAGAATCTACTCCGTCACACTCATATATATATACATATGCACACACCACACACTCATATATATATATATATACACACACCCAAGAATGTTCTTGTATTTATATATAGGAATTACGTATATCAAGCATAAAAAATATTTAAACTGTATATCTGATTTATTATACGATTTTGAAAGAGATTTCAATTGGAAATTTACATATAAACCTTTAATACTTTCCTGCTTTGGTTACCCAACAGAGGGAGATATAAAATCACTAAAGCCCTTAACCCATGCCGACAACATATTAGTGCCTTTGATCTGTACAAAACAAGCATTAGTTTCAGACGCCTTTTGCAAATTGCAGTTTTTGGTAGTTTTATAGCCATAGCAGTCTGCGCCTAGTGGACAAGAAAGAAGGAACTTACCGTTATGCTGACAGTTTGTGGCAGTAAGAAGAGCAATTATATAGAAAATCAACTGCCAGTTTATGAATCCCAAACGAGAATTACCCATCAGCCATCCAAACGCACTTCCAAACTAAATTCAAATGAAAAACACATTTATAATGAGACACAAATTCAAATATTTATACTTATGATCATATTTTAATATATTGTTAAACGAAGCTTTATAATGAATATTGAAAAAAACACGGTAATACCAAAAACATTTTAATTACGGACGTTTCGGAATTTTTTCAAATTCAATCATCAGCGTTAAAATCTGAAAAAAAGTTAGTTCACAATATTCTAACTACAAAAAAGAAACACTAGCTATTGAGCGAATTTTCGTATTCAGTTAGAAGATTCTCAGTGTTTTCATTTTATAATTGTTATTATTATTTTCAAGATGCAGTGTTTGTACTTATATTTTAGCCTTCCTTTATAATACTTAATGTTTTCTCTTAACAATGTTATTTATTAAACATGTGTATACCGCACATTTTATCAAACATTCCATTAAATTGTTAGCGTTTAAAACTGTTCTTTCTAAACTTCCGAGGGATAGTCAGAGAGACATTCAATTTGGTATTTATAAGGTTGAATTTTAAATAGCAGTGGAAATTTATTGGTTTATAGCAGAAGGCAATTTGAAGCTCCCCGAAATATTTCTTAGCAAAATATAAAACTCTTCTTATTCATTTCAAAATAAAACTGTATGTCAGAAACACATATTAAAATCAAAAATAGCATATCATTTAAAGTTATCATTCATCAGAAACATTTTCCACATTTCTTTAAAAAAGTTAATATTATAATTAAGTTCAAAACACCTCGACTTTCTTAAATATTTCCCTTAAAAAACAAAAAAACCTTAGTGTGTGCAACTTGAATATCAATTGTTGTTCCAGAAATTTGTTGATATATATTATCTTTTATATGCCCTGTCACACCAAACATGCTCGTCCTTTCAGCCGTGAGGGCGTTACAATGTTCGGTCAATCCCAATCTATCCGTTGGTAAAAAGTAGCCCAAGATTTGGGGGTGGATGAGGATGACTAGC